TCATCAATTACCCCAAGCCATACATTTACGGAAAACTGATGCTGAAAATGAGCTTCAAAGATTCCATGGGGGTTTTCCTCAGCCCATAAGTGATTCTTATGGAAATTTCTCATACACTGTCGTCCAAAAGTAGCCTCGTCAGTAAACAAAACGGCATTTAAAAAATTAGGAATTTTAGCAATTTGCCATAGACAAAATGCATGTCTGACAATTCCGCATTTGTAAAATTTTCCATTCTTTTCGATAAAAGAAAAATTAATTACTTATTAACACCAATGTTAACGCAAACTAAAAGCTTAATAAATTAATAATAACGAAACGCTAATTTGACATTTCTTAAAAATACTCGTATTTAACAGACAAATGTTGACAGTAACCTACTAGGTAATGTATTAAAGAAATAAAAATACGCGTGTACGAAGAAAAGGCAAGAGAGATTTTTTGTCACAAGTTGAACGAGGAATTCAAAAATGATTTTTAATTTGGAATATCTCAGTGGCGTGCCATTTTTTTCTTAAAAAAAAAAATGAGATTATTACCCGTACGCGCGCCAATGATGAACATAAAATTCTTAATTGCGTGTCAAAGAATGCGCAATAACTACCTCTTAGAACCCACCAAATTTCATTTGCACATCTCGACCGGTTTTAGAGCAATAAATTAAATCGTCAGTTTTTAAGAAAAACTTNAATGATGAACATAAAATTCTTAATTGCGTGTCAAAGAATGCGCAATAACTACCTCTTAGAACCCACCAAATTTCATTTGCACATCTCGACCGGTTTTAGAGCAATAAATTAAATCTCGGAAAACGAATCATTTAGGGACATACGTTTATAAGCAAACTGCCATTATTTTCTCATGTAGAATCACCCCCTGAAATTTGTCACACTTATTTACTAACACCCAGTATAGGGTACACGCGTATCCGGAAGGCCTAATAAAGAAGACAGAAAATCGCAAAAAAAAAATTTTCGTAGACATTTTAAAAAATAAGCAACAGGGAACGCGCCTGCGGCATATAGAGCGTTGGAGCGTTCAAGAGAAATTGCAATTGGTTTCAAAATCGAGGAGCGGCGCATTCCAACTTTATTAACAAAGTGCTATGGACGGATGTTTCGAACGTCTCAGATAGATTTTTTCAATATTTCGATAGTGTCTGGTCTGTTCACGTACACTTTGCTTTTCACATAACCCCACAAAAAAAATCTAGTGGGGTTAAGTCAGGGGAGCGAAGTGGCTATTCCAGCGGCCCTCTTCTGCCTATCCATCGATTTGGAAAAGATTCATTAAGGTAATTTCTTACATCGAGGCGAAAATACGGAAGGACACCATCTTATCGGAACCAGACATCACCAGCAGGCATATCGTGCTCATTATGCTTAGGAAAAATTAATTCCAGGGCTGGAGTAAGCTGAAAACGCAAAAAATCCAAATATATGTTACCTGTCAAATTGCCTTCTAGGAAATAAGGTCCCGGTATGCGATTATCTACTATTCCAGCCCAGCCCAAACATTCATTTTCTCCGACCGTTGTGTATGTTTGTCTTGCATTCAATGTGGATTTTCTAGGCTCCCACTAAACATTTTTCAGTTTCTGACATGTTTCAGAAACGTTTCCATTTTTCTTGAAACGTTTCATAAAAAATCCATGCAACCTTCTGGTAACGTTCTAGAAGCCCAAGATGTCCTCCCCAAAATACGTTTCCAATGAAACGTTTCAAAAAATTGGTTTCAGTAACATTCTTTTTATGTTCCATTTATGCCCTCGATATTTTTGTTTTACGTTTCAGTATATTTTCAGAAATGTTTGAGTAACATAATAATTTTATTACCATATTGTTCTCATAATGCTCTCAACTTTAGATCATTTTCATTTCAAAAGCGTTTTTGAAATAGTATAAATAGTGTGAGTATTTTTTTAAATATCTCTAATACTCCTTTGTGATATTTTTATTTGTATTGTGAATGACTTAATTCGAACTAAAAAAAGTTACATTGTATATTAAAAAAAATAAATATGCTCTTCTAGTTTGGGGATGCGGCAACTTTTACTAAGAATTTCTTTCTTTTTGAGAAGCCACTGAAAAAAGTTTCTAATATGGATTATGAATTTTGCCATTCATCGTACAAATAAAAATATCACAAAACAATATCAGAAGCATTAAAAAAAAGCTACACATTTTATATAGTTCAAATACGCTTCTGAAATGGAAATTTTCTAATGTTGAGACCTTCATGAATATGGTAACAATGACGAACTGATAATTAGAAAAAGTTAGTTATGATTATGAATCTTAAAATGGTAGGTACATGAAAAACAAATAACATTACTGAAAAATAATATAAAGTTATAATTTCTTCTACGCATGGTCAATATTACATATATCCTTTTAATAATAATAAATTATACAGCAGAAATAAGGATACAAAATGATATCTTGACAAAGTAAATATCTGTAGGTATACCTAAACTCTTTTATTTAAGCATGCCTATACACATAAACAAATATAAACATTTGTACAAAATATAAAATAAATGACGTCTATTTCACTTGATTCATCCATATTTCAAATAGTTCTCACTGACTAAGTAGTTGCTCTTCAAATTATATCGAAACGTATAGTTGTTGTTCCATTTTCTTAGTTCTTGTCCCTTGTCCTCTTGTCTGTAATAGGTAGTGGGTATAACTATATTTAGGTAGATGTGACGCAAAATTGGAAATCTCTACACATATCGTTTTAAACATTTTGCATCAATATTCATTATTTTATATGCACCTTACAATAACCACAACTGCACACACTACAAATTATCACATAAAATAGCGTCAAAGTAAAGATGAATAACAACGAAACCAAGCAAACTGACAAACCGCAAACCTAACCTAACATAATACGAATTGAAACGACACACGGGAAACAAATAAACTCGGGCTGTTACGCGCAGTCTACGCAAGTCACGAACATACATTTTTTCTAGACTTGTGTTATAAATATGCTACCACAATTTTTTTTCTGTTTATGTCTGGTTGTACATATAACAAAGGCAAATGAACTAACGCTTGCTATAATGATGGGGCTTGAGAGCAAAATTTAACTAATGCCGAATGGAAGTTGAATGGAAGTTCCATAAGATAAACAAAAGCAAAGGGTTGTTTGTTTGTCGTTGTTACGTTTCGGAGATCGAAAGGGAATGTTTCGAGTAATGTTTCAAACTCTCTTCAATTGTAACGTTTCGGCTATGTTTCACTAAATAAGTTTTCAAGTGCTACATTTCTGTAATGAAACAGAAACGTTTCTAGTTAATGTTTCAAATGTTTAGTAAAACATCTCATTTGCAACGTTTCATTTACGTTTCGTGTTTAGTGGGCTCCTAGTATTTGCCTGTTCCGTTTAAGCAAAAAGTTGCATCCTCAGTGAAAATTATGTGACTTTTTAAGTGGGTTGTCTTTCAAATACATTTCTAATTTCCTCGCAAACAATTTTATGTGTTTATCAAGGTTTTTTTTTGAGAAAAAAAAAGCTGTAAAGTAAGTAGAAAAAGATTATTTAAGAGTAGGTACGTTTTTTAAAGTACAGAAGTTGATTGTTTGAAATAGTCGTCAGTACGAAATAAAAGACAATTCTTTAAATTTTTTTGACAACTACGACAAAAAAGTAGATCTTTAGAAGGCCTATTTATTTATACTATAAAAACAGAGTCGTATTAAAAAATGTCGGTAATGTTATAGATCTGTCAAACATGGTTAAAAGAAATTGAAAATATTGCAGGAAAGTGACAATTTCGTTTTGCTGATTGATCTGTTTCAGTGATTTTTTAAAATCTGAACTGTAGAAAAAATATGAATTTTGTTCCATCATTTCGGACACACTGTTTACCCAGCGAATTCAAGAACAATAAAAAGAACGTTCAGGTTAAAACACCGCCGTCCAGGGTAGATTGAATGTACAAGTAAACCTGAGTAGAATAATAATTAACTAATTTTTATCATTCCTGTTCTTCGGAGTATAGAAGAGGAAGAACGACGCTAACAGTCACCATCCAATGTTTTAATTGAGGTTAAACAACCGATACAAGTCACATCATTGTTTTGTACTTAACTTACATTTCAAAGGAAATTGTTGTAATGACTGGTGTTCGGGAAACTCATTGTACGCTTTGTCTTAAAATTATAGCCGATAAAAGTTTTGAAGTAATAAACAACGTTATCAGAGATATTCTTGATGTTCTTTTGCTGAAACTGGTAAGTCATTGAAAGATTAGTTTGTATTATTTCAGTTCGTGAACGTTATTTTGTGCCATAGTTATTGTCATTCTGTTTGATTAAAATGTGCACATTTCAGAAATTAGATGATGTGAGCAAGGAGGTTATATGTAGTGTTTGCAAAAGAAAATTATACGCAGCATTAGACTTCAAGTCGGCTTGTTTGAATACCGATAACATAATTATTCCATATGTGGATTGCGAAAAAATGTTACAGCTCGACTTAAGGGAAGTGTACAGGAAGGAAAAGAGAGACGAGTCAATTTCAGATAATCAGAAAATATGTCGATTGTGTATGCAACTAGTAAGAAGTGAGTTTAGGTGCATACGTGAGGAGGAACTCGAAGCTATTCAGAAACTGACTCCTGAAATGGTACGAACCGTGTTAAATATATTCATTGATAACAATATAAAAAAATTACTTTGCAGAATATAAATATCATCGTAGATCCCGTTGTATGTAAGGAGTGTTTGGATTCCCTGAGCACCCACAACAGTTTCTGCAGAGAATGTTTGGAAGCAGAGGAAAACTTTAAAGGTAGTTCTGATTGTCAAGCCACAGAAAGTCAAGTTGATACATCACCATTCAATTTATTCGTTAAGACTGAAAACTTGGACCGAGAATTCGATATTAACGAGATGGAAATGTCAATCAAAGCCGATATTGTCGACATAAAATCTGAANGACATAGCTTTAATATAGATAATACTAATATGAGTTAATTGAAATAGTAAAAAAAACGAAGATATTTATTACACTTAAGTAACTAGAAAAAAAAATGAAGTTAACCAAGGAATTTACGTATTCTAAACCATAAAAAACAAAAATCAATGTAGTCTATTGAAGAGTATAACATAAGTCGCTCCACAAATAAAGGAAATAAATGTTAACGTGCAACAAAGCAAAATTTACAACGGGTTGATGTCTTCCACGCAGTTAATTCTTCTTTTTTCCTTACCATCATTACAAAAAATAGTTCCGTCCAGGGTCCATACTTTATTATTACCATAACGTTCCTTGGCCCTTTTGAATAACGTAAAATTTTCCGGCGTCAAATCGTCGGCAAAAAATAAACCAGAGTTTTTTAAATTTCTTTTGTTTTCCATCAAAAAACGTTTATCACTGTAGTTGATAAATAGTAAAATTTTCAGTTTTATAGCAGTAGCGCTTACTGAAATTACTAACGATAAATTATAATAAAATTTTAATAAATAAATAAAATGTATTAAATAGAAACTAAAGATTTTTTAATCTAACAGTTTGTTTATTATTTGAAAAAAAATAGATATTGAATTTAAAAGTCCTAAAAATAATTTACTTCAGTTCCATATTTACAAACTCGAATCTATTAAAACATTGAAAACTTCTCTTCAATCACTCTTAATTCAGTTTAACCGTAACGGGTTAGAAAAACCTCAATAATTATAATTATCATTATCAAAGAACATCCAACACAGCATCATAGATGTTTATCTTTTAATTCGATTTACAAATTATTACAAAATGGTTTATTATTTTGTTTACTAAAATGTGTTTTCTATAATACTTTTGTAGGGAAAAATTGTTCCAATTTTTAAAAATTCATTTAAAGAACAAAATTACAATAAATAAATATTCATACGTATATTTCCAACCGCTGGGACAAAGCCTCAGCGTGTACAACACTCGATGGGCATATGCGGCCAAATATTGTGATTTAGTGAACGACTTACATTTCCGATTACTTTCTAGTCCTATGTACGTATTAGCAGGCAAGGGACGGCGTTGTCTAGTTCAGCGGCCACCGGCAAGCCCGGATGTTATGTTGGTTGCTGCTGAGATCACGATTAAATTATAAATTTTAAAATTTGGTAATAGGAAATTTAGTTCAGTAAACAAAGACACGTAAAAGATACGAAAAATTCCATAGAATTGAGTGAACTACTTTACTCCAACTGAACGTTAGGGTTTCATTTTCAAAAAAAAACTAAAACATTTTAGAAAAAAATGTTTTAGACAACAGTTGTAGAACTTTTCATAACAAAAGTTTTGTGCACAGTCCGATGTCAATTGATAACCAAATGTATTGGTTATGGCATTTTAAACGAAAGATTTTTTTTACAAAACTTTCAGAGTATGTAGTTCTTGGCAAGTAGAATAAGTGCATCTTTGTAAATTTTCGAATTTATTTTATAGTTTTTGCAAAAATTGAATTTTTCGAAAAAAAATACATTTTTTCAAGTTTCAATAAATCATACAGTAATGCTCTTTCGTGACCCATCGTAGGCTTAAAATTTTCTCTAAGAATTGTACCTTCCGGTGTAAATTGTGCACGTTATGCAAAATAATTGGAAATATGCGAAAAATCTACCGAAACTTTGACTTCTTTTTTCGTGTCGAAAAATGTGGTTCTTTTTCTTATCGTTAAAATTTAATAGGAATGGCATTATTGCAAAATCGGTAGCGAATCGTTCGGTTATTAGATGACTATTTGGAGTTCTCTGGGAGCACGTGATCAAAGCTCTAACACTGCTCCCTGTACACTCTGAAATAATAAACCAACCTATGACCTCTTAAAATTAAAACCTTGCTTTGGGAAATACCCTGTACTCGTATATGCAATTTTTTCAGCAACACGCCACTGGAGAGCTCCGATAATGAACCATTCGATAAGAGTGACCGTAATGTTGCAAAAGAGCAACGATGTAAACACGAGGATGGATCGCCGAACAAATATAATATGAAAAATAAGCAGAAGCACAATGAATTGTACAGATGCGAAAAGTGTCGTAACGAAACTGGAAGTAAGATCCATTTTGCAGCACACTGTGCTAGATGTGGGAAAGATTCGGAAGTGTACAAGTGGGAAACCTGCGACTATAAAACTGAAAATAAGAAATTACTTCAGAGGCACCAGTTGCGGTATAAATACTCTTCGCAGGTTCAAATGTACAGATGTAACGACTGTGATTACGTAACTGAATACAGGTTTGTTATCAAAAGGCACCAACTGAAACATAAAGATCCATCACAGGTTCAAATGTACAAGTGTTACGACTGCGATTATGAAACTGAATTTAAGGGTAATATCAAAAACCATCAATTGACACATAAGGATCCTTCGCAGGTTCAAATGTACAAGTGTAACGAATGCAACTATGAAACTAAATACAAGAATGTTATCAAACAGCATCAACTGAAACATAAAAATACTTGCCAGGTTCAAATGTACAAGTGTAACGATTGCGATTATGAAACCAAATATAAAAGAGCTATCAAACAGCACCAACTGAAGCATAAAAATCCATCACAGGTTCAAATGTACAGGTGTAACGACTGCGATTACGAAACTAAATNTGCCGTACATGCATCGATCAAGATGGGCATCAATTTGAACACTTACAGTAACCCTTTTTCGAATCCCTTTTGTAATTTCTTTTAAATATATTTTGAGGCTGCATTTTTTTCCCTTAATGCAAATTGGTTGCCTGATTTATGCCGACCCCGGTATGCTATTTTATTTGGGACACTAAAAAATAGTGTGTATAGCACTCCAGTAACAACCAAGGAAAATTGTAAGGCAAGCATTTGAGCATATCTCACCGGATTCTATGAGAGCAGCGACCCACGAGGAACTAATTCGAAGGTGTGAAAAATGTTTAGAAGTTGAGAAGTTGCAGGAGACATTTTGAACATTTTTGAAAATAAATTTGACAGTTAAAAATCTGTTACAGTTGTCATGTTGATTGTTACTTACCTGACACGGCCAACCCAAAATGCGTGAAACAGATGGAAACGTCATCTTAAGAAAAGGGAAATGTTTATTCGTAAATAAGATGAAAACCACTGGGTTTAGGTATAGGGAAAATTTAACAAAGTTATACTTAATTTTAGTGCAGAATGCGAATACGTTAAAAAAATTAGGGGTTTCCATTTACAAATTTCGAATTTTCCACATTTTCTGAACTTCTTATTCGATAATTTTCTTTGACCACCCTGTATAAAAACTGGAAAATTTTCATGTCAAATTCGATAAATTAGGAATTCCTCTACAAAATGTCCAATTTGCACAAAAAAATAAACCTGTGTTTCCGGAAAACTAAATTTTGCTGACAGTCTGCATCTGTCAATTTTTTCTTAAAAATCGAAATATCTCGGTCAATCCTAAGTATGGAGTGTGCTATATGTTTTCATCTTAAAAATAGATGCTCTTTCCAAAAATGCAATAATATACAGGGGGTTCCATTTAAAATAAGATTAGTATCGACTTCCAGTATAACCGGAAGTAGGATGACCTTGAAAATATTTTAACTTGGCAGGCCCCACACCATCACAATTTTAAAAAAATCCTTCGAACGGGTGGGACACCCTGTATATTCAAAAATGGAAGCATTTAAGAGCTACAAATGGGAATATGATAATATATGTTCGTAAATATTGGAATAAGATGTAAGTTAGTGAAGTGTTGATGTCTGTTTTTCTGTTCTAAATTATTTATTTTGTAAATTTCAGTTGTGTACATGTGGATGGGAAGGTTTTGGCAAGTCGCTCAATGTATTTTGTACCAACTACCTAAATTTAAAAAAAATAATATTCATAAATATTTGTAATTTTGAAAAATTACCCACTGGACTTAATTTATACCGTGAATTATTCCGGCAGTTAAAATATAAGTCTTCACAAATTAGACCATGTTTTAATTTTTGTGAATTTCTTCATGAAGTATCTCAATTTATTCATGAAAATGTGTTTATTTTCAATCTGTCTTTATTTACCAAGACTTTCCTGCAAAGTTAGAAGTAATTGTTTTTATTTCAAAGAAATTCACAAACTTTAGAACAATATAAAACCAAACCCAAAACCGATGAATTAATTCATGAAAAACTTCGCGAATTTATTCATGAATTAATTCTCACTGTAACAACAGCTGTTAGTAACACTATTGTATTTTGTTAGTAATATTTTAAGACATAGAAATAAGGTTTAAACCCTATTATAGTTTTTGTACTGTAGGCTTGAATGAATTAAATAAAATTTAACTGTACATGCTGATTTTATAATACCGTACCTATCTTACTATAACGCTGTTCCATATCGGACAACTATGTTAACAGTAATGATTCTTTTTTCATCATTTATTGATAGCACTTCAGCAGAAGGCACTTGTTTTGAAATATATATATTTCAATGTATCCACATTAAGATTTGTGTTTCATATCACTGAAAACGAAAAAAAAAAAAAAGAGTAACTAACAGTGGTGCCTTCTGCTACTATCTCAGTTATCTGCACCAAATGGAGATCTTCATCGCGTAACCTTAATCACTACCTACTATGTATATAACGTATACGCGTATTCGGAAGGCCTAATAAAGAAGACAGAAAATCGCAAAAAAAAAATTTTCGTAGACATTTTAAAAAATAAGCAACAGGGAACGCGCCTGCGGCATATAGAGCGTTGGAGCGTTCAAGAGAAATTGCAATTGGTTTCAAAATCGAGGAGCGGCGCATTCCAACTTTATTAACAAAGTGCTATGGACGGATGTTTCGAACGTCTCTGATAGATTTTTTCAATATTTCGATAGTGTCTGGTCTGTTCACGTACACTTTGCTTTTCACATAACCCCACAAAAAAAATCTAGTGGGGTTAAGTCAGGGGAGCGAAGTGGCTATTCCAGCGGCCCTCTTCTGCCTATCCATCGATTTGGAAAAGATTCATTAAGGTAATTTCTTACATCGAGGCGA